AATAATAGAGTTTAACACCTAGAAATAAGAGGAACTAGCACCATGTTACCAGCCAATTCTCATGGACCACCAGTTATCTGAATTTTGCATCATCAGATGTACTTAAAACTTCAGTTTTACTACTGGTTGCTTGAATGTTATGCATATTAATAAAATAATTAAACCATTTAATTAAATGGTCCTGTTTCAGAACAGATTATTGAAGATGATTTGTCCAAGTAAGTATTCAATATTATAGGAATGTTTTATATTAATCTGGGACAAGTACAAATACTTTCAAGAAGGAGTATTTTCAGAAGATCTACATTAACTATTGTGAGTACGGAGGGAAAACTACTTGTCCTTCACTGTGCTGCATTTCCTTGGATGAAGGCATATACTGTATTAACAGTTCCGTCTGTCCAAGTTGTTAAATGTTTTTTCTATTTCTTTAATCAGATCATGTATATGAAGCCCTACTACTCATAGGTATTGACATAGACTCACTAGAACAAGATTCAGTTTTGGAAGAAGTCTGGATCAAGGAAGTTATTAAGAAATCAGGGATGAAGTACAAATGGGCAAAATTAAAACAAGAAAAAGTAAGAGAAAATAAAGATGCTGTGAGAAGGTAAAATTATGATTCTTTTCGTTGTTTCCTATTACTATTAAAATAGCACATTTAGGATACACAGCTGATAAAATTTGAAAGATAAGTGTTAACTTTCTGTTTGTTTCCTTTTCCCATGTAATTGCTATTTCAGTGTTAAGACTTTCTGTCTGTCTGATTTTTGTGAAACTATGCAAAAAGATTGTTTCTTGCTTCATTTAATGTGAATTGTCTAGGTTTTTTTTTTTTGGTGATGCATGGGGAAGTACTTGACTGTTCTATTGAACACAGAGCTATTATGGATTCTACTTATGCATAGAAATCATTATTATCCATAGACATTACACAGAGGCTACGTCTAGACTGGCATGATTTTCCAGAAATGTTTTTAACGGAAAAATTTTCCGTTAAAAGCATTTTCGGAAAAGAGCATCTAGATTGGCCACGGACGCTTTTCCGCAAAAAGTGCTTTTGCGGAAAAGCGTCCATGCCAATCTAGACACGCTTTTCCACAAAAAAGCCCCAATCGCCATTTTCACGATCGGGGCTTTTTTTGCGGAAAACAAATCTCAAGCTGTCTACACTGGCCATTTTGCGCATAAGTTTTGTGCAAAAGGGACTTTTGCTCGAATGGAAGCAGCATAGTATTTCTGCAAAAACCACTGATTTCTTACAGTAGGAAGTCAGTGCTTTTGCAGAAATTCAAGCGGCCAGTGTAAACAGCTGGCAAGTTTTTCCAGAAAAGCGGCTGATTTTCGGGAAAAACTGGCCAGTCTAGACACAGCCAGAGTGTTTGACATCTTCAAAATGATTTTTTTTTGCTATTGTAGGCCTCCTGCTGATCCAGCTTTATTAACCCCAAGGCCTCCTGTTGTTACTATATTGGGCCACGTCGATCATGGGAAAACAACTTTACTTGACAGGCTGCGAAAAACTCAAGTGGCAGCAATGGAAGCAGGAGGCATCACCCAGCATATTGGTGCCTTTCTTGGTATGATATAAATGTAACAATTTGTTGTACAGTGTATATAGTAGTCAGCAGGGGTTGACAAATTATGGAAAACCCTACTTGCCAGACAAAAAAGGGACTCGCCACCCTCCCCCACAAAAAGTGCTTTTTTAATGGCATAAATTCCTAATAAGAATAATAACAGTAATTACTAATAAGTTATTAATATCACACAGGTGATTTAAAATATTTTATAAACCTCTACCTTTTCTCTCTGCTGCCATGTCTCCTCCCCTTGCTCCATCAGCTCCCCTGGTGCCTGCTGCCCCCCCAACCCTCACCCTCTGTTGTCCTGACTTCTGCCCTTCTTCATGCTACACACATTGAGGAATCTGACATTAGTTAGTCTGGAAACTTACTTATGTCACACTTAGGTCATGATTTTTTTTAATCCAGGCAGGGGGAAAAAAAGTCAAAGCTCTCTGGAAAAGGCGAAAATTCAAGGGACTTTGGTATTTTTGTTTGAGATGTCATTCCTTACCCCCAACCTTTTACAGCCTTGATTGGATTAATGTTTTTCTATTCTCAGATTCTCCTATAAACCAAATGTGTTGGGAGTAGTTTTAATGCAGCATTCATTCCCTGATACCCACCCCCTCACCAACTTA